CTAAGGCACTAACGTTTCTAGTATGTTTTAAATCATAAGCTTCATCGCTTATTGCTCTCAGAAGCCCTGGAATAATCCAACTCAGAACGTGATTTGATTGGTCAATGCGTATACAATGAAAGTACCGGAAGTTATTCATTAACCGGGTGATATTTTGGCAACATGGCTGCTATCACAAGGAGTGTATACAAAAGTTAAATGCTGGTTTTTGCATGAAAATACTTTTTTAAACCAAATTCTGGGCTATTTTGAAAAGAGCAAAAGAAGAAATGGACTATTTGTATTTGTAAATAAGCAAGAATGGCGAACAAAGTAAAAAATTTAACATAATAAAGCGAAACATTTCTCGTTCGAAAATTGAAATTTCAAGTATATATCTACAACTTCAACTACGATATTCAATGTAAATATTACATAATAAAGCTTTTAATACCTTTTTTACATTTATTTGATAAATTGTATTATTGCATTTTGCATTGGAATAGGATAAATTATTAATTATACACAAATCTTTAAATTTACAAATTATTTCCAATTTGAGGATTCTGGGTGCACTGCCTCAGAGTTTGTATTAGTGCCTATTTATTATTCAGTTATCAGTGCCTCTAAATCACTAATGTACAAACAATGTAATCTGTTACTTAATACCATAAAGAAACTGTTGATAGCAAATATATTAAAAGACTATGAATCAAAATGAACTAAATTTTCGACCATTTAATATATAGCATATTTCCTCCAATATTGAGGGAATAATTTCTCCTATTTATTTTTATAATAAGCCAATATTTCCCAACTGTAATGTAAATATTGCCCGATTGGCCCAGTCTGCCCAAAAATCGGGCCCTGCCCTATACCCTATGGCCAGGCCTACAGGTGTTGCCCCAACCTGATCGGTCACAATTTTCTTTTTCCAAAATTTCCCCTCCCCATGTACAAAGATTGACAATTTGACAGTTTGATTAAATTTGAAAAAAAAAACACTGCTAGATTAGGCCATTCCAGAAAACACCCATTGTGAGTCCATACCACCCCCACAGAGGAAATTGAAAGTTAATCCCTCCTACATATACCCCTTTGGATGTCCTAATACATTTACTATTATCAGAAACAATTTTTTCTCCCTCCCCCTCCGAACGGCAGAAATTTCCTCTGTGGGGTGAGTGCGGATCTTTTCTGGAACGACCCACTTAAGAAATGCTTTTGCACAAATTTTAAATTTTCTTACAAACACAACTCGTCGCTGTATGTCAGAACACTGTTCTAAGTTGCAACTAAAATCCAGAGGTCTAAAAGGCTCAAATCAATTCCAGTGCTTTAACCAGATGGGA